TTTTTTTTTTTTTTGCCTCCATTCATGAAGCTGTTGAGGCCAAAGTCAAGTGTCAGCTCTGGTACAGAAGGTAGCTGAGAGTAACTTGTTGGGTCTTGGAGCAGAATATTTGCAAAGTTATTCTATTGCCATGCTATCACTATAGTGAAAATTGTAGGAAAGGGGGAAGTAAAAATATGTGCCAAGAGATGAGAAACTAAAGGGAATTGATTTATTAAGTAGCAAGTTGTATTTTTCTGTAAGGTTTGGTTTTCTGTGACCATGTCCTGGGTTCAGCCACAGTACTGTAAGTCTTAATAGTTTGGTGCTGCTTCATGGTCTAGGAAAATTGTGGTTATGATCATCTAGGAAAGCCTTTGTCTGTTGGCATTTGTTCTTCAATGAGCCACCTTGAAGAAGTGGATTGGAAGGCAGTGGATGCCGTGATGTGATGGAGGTAGTGGTGAAGACTACCAGGTGCTAAAGTTGAAAATAACTTACTGCTCCAAACACTTTTTGAGGTTCAAGTTCTTGAATTACTTTTTTGCCTTATGCTTTTCTTCAAAGTTGATAACACTCAGTCCCATGATATGCTTATGGCACAGTGCAAAAGTTTATAATCCCATTGAAGTCATGCATGCAGCTTCAGACTGGTAGAACAAACACCCCTTAGCTGCTCTCGTGGCTAGTTGCGTTTTGAAGAAAGGACAGTGGTTTCTTTTCTCCCCAGCCTGATTTATGCTTTAATGAAGTTTGTTCCCCTTAAACTTCCTTGAATCTCTCATAATAATTGTGTATGAAATTTTGATGGTGTTTCTCTAAGACGCACTGCTTCAAGCATGTGTAGTACCACTGCTTGAACGGTCTTTTTGTTGTTAGCAATCACCACAATATTCCTGGAGTGATTAAAATGCAGTGGGGTTTTGTTACCATTTTGTTTGACATTTTGGGTTTTCTTTGGAGTCACTTAGTGCAATAACTATATGGACATGTCTTTGCAGCAGAAGAGCTACTACCTGCAGTCACTGAAATGTTTGGAGAAAATATTGATAAACCCATTCGATTCCACCCCCACTGATCCACATATATGAGAAGGCTATACTGGATACTGCAAGACACATAGCAGCACTTCTCTGTCTTTGTGCTGGGCAGGGATTGATTATGAAGGAAATGCTTCACGAGGAAAGCTGCTGTCAGCTTTGGGGAATTGAGAGTTGGAATTATATATAAAGGATTCTTATGTTTGGTGGTGGTTTTAGTTTTGCGGGTTGTTTTGGGTTTTGTTTTTAAGACTTTAGACCAAATTTTTACTAAAATTTTCTCCTTAGAAAAGAAAAAACGTAACAAAAGAAGTGGAACCTTGTTCTTAATGATGTTTTCTTGTTTCAGTTTTAGCTAGAATGAAAACTCCCAAATCTGTTTCAAAAAAGGCACATGTGAGGTGGGTGCTGTAATTAATGGCTTTTATATATTAGTTTTCTCTATGACATCTATTCAGAATACAGAAAAATTAGTCAAAGTTCTAGTGGTTCGTAGCCAGATGTGTTTATAGGAGTGAGCACAGGCAGAAGTGTTGGTGTTCAGTCTGCGTGTTTGGGTCAAATGTAAAATGCTGTGTTTGGAGGTGTACATGCTTCTGTTGCCATTCCTATTATTGAACGTGGTTGGTAACTTGCTGTGAGCAACTGCTGATGTTACATTGTGTGGCTTTCGTTTGTTTGCTTTTTTCAGGAAGGCATACTTACCCTTCTGTTTTCCTGTTTCTGCCTCCCTTTTTCATGTTATTCACTTGTTTTACAGTTTGAAGGACTCAATCGATGACATGGATGATTTCTGCTTGGACTTGAAAATGAGAAAAAGCCCAACAAAGCGTGGCAAGTCAACAGCAAATACAGAGCAGACATTTTAAGGGGTGGAAAGCTAGCATTCATTTCTGAGCTCATAGGTTTCTGGGAGAGCATGTTAAACATAATTTCACTTTGTCTCTTGCTTGAGGCTTTTCTGTTTCCTGTGGGAGTAACAGAAGAAAGTATGGTCTGACAAGTATATGTTTTGAAGCGTTGCTGTAGAGCTGTAGATACAGACTGTGGGCTATCTGCCAGCATTTGGGTCTGTGAAAAGAGTACAACTCACGGCTGGTTAGACTGAGCTGCAAATGTGGGATGATTACTGTGAAGAGAGGACTGTGGAACACTGATTTGCATATCCTATGGCTGTAGTAGCTCATTCTGTGGTCAAAAGACACTGAGTAAAGAAAAAGGTAACTGTTGTTAAGCTGGATACCCTTGATTTAATGCACGTTTTGGCCAGGGTATTGCAGAGCCATAGATAGTCCTTTAATTTGGAGCTTCTTTAGCCAAGGTCGTCTGTGTAGTCCTGTTAACACTGCCTACAAGATGCTCTAGCAAACCATTACTTGTGGGGCTTCAGTGTTCAGCTGAGCAGAGAAGGTAACTGTTGTTAAGCTGGATACCCTTGATTTAATGCACGTTTTGGCCAGGGTATTGCAGAGCCATAGATAGTCCTTTAATTTGGAGCTTCTTTAGCCAAGGTCGTCTGTGTAGTCCTGTTAACACTGCCTACAAGATGCTCTAGCAAACCATTACTTGTGGGGCTTCAGTGTTCAGCTGAGCAGAGGATCCCTGTTTTCCCCCAAAGGATGGGAAGTGCCTTGGTTTACTAACATTCAGAGCCTGACTAACGTTAACACTGCCTACAAGATGCTCTAGCAAACCATTACTTGTGGGGCTTCAGTGTTCAGCTGAGCAGAGGATCCCTGTTTTCCCCCAAAGGATGGGAAGTGCCTTGGTTTACTCACATTCAGAGCCTGACTACACCCGTCTGGTGCACTTCTCATCGATAGGAACAAACTGGACTTGAGTAGAATGAGTGAACAGAGCTCTGGAATTCCTTACACAGCCACTAGGCCAGTGATCAGGTGATAGAATTTTGGTAGATGAGGGGTGATAACAGTGATCTCATGTGAACCTGGAAAGGCTCTGACCCCTGATCAAGAAGGATGGGATCTTTTGCAGGTGGTGAGAATGTCAACCCTGAAACATGTATGCCAGCTGTAGGCTGTAAAAAGCTAATGGAATGGTTTCTGGAGGGGAAATGGGGGAAGCACAGTGGACCAGAAGCATCATTAAAAGAAAAAATAAGTCACCAAGAGCCTGACATGATCCTTTGATCTTGATAGGTCAAATTTGAGCTGTCAGAAGCCTTGTTTGTTGACAGATGTGCACTTTGTGCTGTAGGCTATGGTCTGATCTTCACTTGGTGGTTTTATCAAACTTTAGCGTGAATTGTTCAGCCTTACTTCTACATGCGTATAGCTTTTGTTACTGGGAATGAAGATGATGCCAGCATTAGGTACTACTGCCAGGCTTGCTGGCTGATGTGTGCATACATAGGGTTTAAGGTACTTTTTGGAAAGAAAAGATGTATTAAAAAAATACATCTTTTGGTTACTTGCCCTTTAGTATGATGATAAATGGGCAAGATGTAATAAAGAAAATGGGAAGATGTTTCTATTCTTTGTGTTTTCCTATTGTTTTCAAGGACTTTTTTTTTTTTTCTTTTCTGTTAAGACAAAGGTCAATTTCCTAAATGAGATTATCAAAACTTTAAGCTGTTTCTTTTGAACTGTAGCACAGAAGGACCTTCAGACCAAGAAGAAGTGGATGACTCCTGGAAAGAAAAACAGTTGCTGTCGAGAACTGCAGCATCCAGAGGCTTCAAGTGACACTGATGATTCTGTCTTTGTAGAATCCGACTACCAAAAAGGGGGAGTGAAAGACCTGAAAGAGAGTCAGAAGCACATAAAACTCCCACCTCCACAAAATCTGAGAGAGTCAATCTCCAGAGGCTGTCCAGACTTGCTTGTTAGAAGGAGAGAAAGAAGCTATGAAAAAAGTACAGAAAACAAAGCGCCAACTGTGGCAGTACAACAAAGTACAGAGGTAGAACCAGATAGCTCAGATGGTGAATTTGAATCATTAATAGAACGGATAAGGAAACAAAGTATACCTCAAAAAACTGGTTTAAGCACAAATAAAACTGCCCGCCAGCCAAGCACAAGAGGTGAGCAATTGTTCTCGGCTGACTTGCAAGCTACTGACAGCAATGGTGGTGCCACTTGCCTAATTATTTTCATTTGTGTGGCATATGCTTTAGAAGTGCAACCCAGCATCTTGCAATTGAATTTGATGAAATCAGAAATTATTTCTCTAGCATTGTGCTGAGTGATTCTACTTGTCTTGTGGTATCAAAGTTGTAAGTTTTTCAGCACTGCTTGTTTTTATAACTCTTATAACTGCAGGCATTTAAAAAATTGTTCTGAAAACAGAATCTAACTGATGGTTTTGAATGACGTTCCCTAGCCAACAGAGAGAAGGAGGCCTACTGAAACCACAGACCTTGAAGTGGTCGTTGATTTCTGGTGTGAGGGTCAGTCATTTTACCAATCTGCTCAGGTGTGGAATGGGGATATAGGTAGCTCTCTGATCAGAACTTGATTGTGAAAGAGAGAATGTGACGTATGGTGCATGACAGAAGGTTAAAGTAATCTTTTTGTTCAAATGGTGTCTCTGCATTACTGCTCCCAGCGTCCTGGTGGTGTATTTTGAATTGGTGAACTGTTACAGAAATGCCTAAGTGAGGTCACAAATATTTTTCCCTCCAGTTCCTCCTAGCTGGAATGTTTGAAAGCTTGGAGTCTGCCACTTCTTCATTGAATGGCAACTTTTGTACTACATAACAGCAAATTACCTTTCCCTCAGTTGTGAAAGCCTTTGCATTCAAGTATGCACAGTAAGAGTGTGTGTGTGAGCCAGAGTATTCGACTTTTTCATCTTTGTCTGTTACCTGATTGCTGATGTGTGTGTTCTAGATTCTTTGTAATCCTGTGACTCTTTCTGTTGAACTAGAAGATATCAAGTCACCCTGTGAGGATGGCCAGCCTTTGAAAGGGGAGGGAGTCAAGACACCAAGGCCAAATGCCATTTCACTTCAAGAAACACCTTCCAGGATAATGGTTTCTGCAAGAATTCCTAGGAATGAATTGGTCAGTTGCTCACAGTCAGCAAAGACAGGGGAAAGGTAAGTGTTCCTCCATTTTTATTTTTTTCTTTACTATGTTGTTTGACCATTATAGATGGACAAATAGATGATAAGCATTTTTCCTAGGATGATGTTCCGATTTTTCTGGTTGCCTAGAAACTTCTGCTACCAAATCAGCAGTTGTTAATAGTTAAGTAGCTGGAAATCAAAGCTTTCAGTCTCAGGTATGACAGGGAGAGTATAAGCTAATCTCTGCTTAGAGGAATTAATGACTAAAAAATGGGACAAATACCAAATCTTTTTTGTAAATGTTAGCTTTCTTGCTATTCCTTGTTTTGGCACAGCATACTTCTAACATGGCTGGCCCTATAGATTCTATTTATCCATCTGCTATTTGTGACCTCACTTAGGTCACTTAGGCATTTCTGCGACAGTTCACCAATTCAAAATACACCACCAGGACGCTGGGAGCAGTAATGCAGAGACACCATTTGAACAAAAAGATTACTTTAACCTTCTGTCATGCACCATACGTCACATTCTCTCTTTCACAATCAAGTTCTGATCAGAGAGCTACCTATATCCCCATTCCACACCTGAGCAGATTGGTAAAATGACTGACCCTCACACCAGAACAGAGACTCTATTTATCCATCCAGACTGATCCTATTAGTAATACATGCCTTTTTAACAAGCTTGCTTTGATATTTTTGACCTATATTCTTCGAACTTGCAGAATTTATCTTTCTTTTTCTATGGATGCAGCTTAAGCTTTTCAGGAGAACATCCTTTTCATTTATGGTAGCTGCCTTTGTTCTGTCTCTTCTCCCAGGGAACAAGGGATGGGACAAGAGGAAACAGCCTCAAGCTGCACCAGGGCAGGTTTAGATGGAGCTGAGGAACAATTCCTTGCCCAGAGGGTGCTCAGGCATTGGAACAGGCTGCTCAGGGCAGGGCTGGAGTCACCACCCCTGCAAGTGTTCACACACCATATAGACGAGCCCTCAGTGCCAGGGGTTAGTGGTGGCCTTGGCAGGGCTGGGAACAGTTGGACTGGATGAGCTTAAAGGTCTTTTCCAACCCGGTTGATTCTATGTTTCTGAAAATACACCTTTATTGTGGGAGATCATGTTAGGGCTATTCATATATGGATCAAGTTTTGGTATAATAATGGCTCACTGTGTCACAAACATCTGAGCTACCCTCTTTTCCTATTTAGGAGTCCTCATAATCTATTTTTGTGAATTAATAAAGTAATTGCAGAACTACTGGTTGAAGGAGGTGATCCTGCCCCTCTGCTCTGCTCTAGTGAGACCTCACTTGGAGTATTGTGTACAGTTCTGGTGTCCTCAACATAAAAAGGACATGGAGCTGCTGGAGCAAGTCCAGAGGAGGCCACAAGGATGATCAAGGGCTGGAGCCGCTCCTGTATGGAGA